CGGGAAAACACTTCGTTTTTATTCTTCAGCAAATAAAGCCATGTCATCCGTGTACAATCATCTATGAATGTGACAAACCATCGAACACCAGAGGGAGCAGTGATAGGTGAAGGTCCCCAGACATCAGAGTGAATTAACGTAAATGGAGTAGTACACTTTTTCGTACTCAACGGGTAGGGCACACGATGACTCTTAACCAAAATACAAGTATCACATGTGAAGTCGGAGTCCTTGAAACCTGAGAATAAATCTGGTATAAGATGCTTCATATAACTAAAAGACGGATGTCCCAATCGACGGTGCCACAACCAAATTTGCTTTTGTTTGCTATCAAAGGGATGCGTCACACTGTTAGCTATGCCAGGACTGAAGTCATCGACATAATATAGCCCCCCTCTCTTAGTACCACGACCAAGAATCTCCTTAGTGTGAATATCCTGAAGTAAACAAAAACTCGGGTAAATGAGTACACAACAATTTAATTGTTCAGTAAGCTGACTAACGGACAACAATTTAGTGGATAAAGATGGAACAAGTAAAGTATTAGATAGTATGAGAGAGGATGAGAGTGCAACAGTGTCAGCCCATGTCACAGGATAAGTAACGCCATTGGCATTTGCAATACAGGTTCGTCGAGGTTGTGTAGTATTCAGAAAATCATCAGGATCAAACGTCATATGATCAGTTGCACCGGAATCAATTATCCAACTCCTGGAATCAATCTTATCGGAAGTATGGAATCCATAACCAGTACCATTACTGGTCGTATTGCATTGTCCTCGATCTTTAAGAGTAGCCCACCAATCGGGGTAGCCATGCAATTTAAAACAAGTCTCACGAGTGTGTCTCGGATCACCACTATATGCACAATCTAGTCCATGTGTCGGTGTCGTTAGTCGAGAAGTCATAATCTGTGCAGCGGAAGATGCATAGGATACAGGTAAAGTAGGAATTCGGATCGGGATCTGAGCCTGAGTCGGGGCTGGAGTTGGAGTCGCAATCGGGATCGAGGTCTGAATCATAGAAAAATTCGGGGTTGTGGTCATCATCGGAGTTGGGGTCGAGGTCGACTTTGGAGTCGGGGTCGGGGTCGTCGTCGTTATAGTTGAGGTCAGGGTTGGGGTCGTCAAAATAGGATCCTGATTCAGGATCGGGTTCGGGGTCATCAAAATAGGATCCTGATTCAAGATCAAATTCGGGGCCAAAGTCTGCATCTGTAGGAGCTGAGCCATTTGGGCACTCAACTCAGCTGTGGTTGGTTGAGAAGGAGAGAAGGAGTCGGTGGTGCTACCTCCATGAGGGTTGAAAAAATCATCAACCCCCATAGCGGCGGCGGAGGTTTGAAACTAGAGTCAGCAATTCCAAGAACCTGGCTCTGATACCATGCTAAAATATGAAAACTATAAGAGAATATTTGTTTGTGGGAATTTTCTATGTATTCTTCTCCTTGTAGGAGGTCATATTTATAATACAACAAAACCTGAATGGGCAAGTAAATAATAAATTCCTAAATCTATTTACAGTAGGAAATCAGGAATTAAAGTAAATCAATTACAAATAAAATAGGAATCCTTGGTGTGTAAGGAAAGTAAGTCAATATCCACAAGTCACGCCAATAGGCACTTCCTCAGCTATTCTAAACTAGCATCTTCATGTATTGGATTCTGGTTCAGTAGGGTCATAGGGTTCAAACACCCCTAAAATTTCCACACTAGGGTCAAACTCTTCATTTATCCCTTCAACTTTTCTAGAAATATTTTGGAATAAGCTTAGATAAAGATTTAACAACCTCAAACTAGAGCCATTGCATGTACATAATGTAAATCAATGGCACAAGAACCTCACCTATAGGCTCAAAGAGCCTCAAATCCTTAGTGCATGTTCTTCCTTGTTCAAACCATGCTCGAGCTATATGGCAATCCTTCTTCAAGAATAAGCCATGCCCACTATATTGAAAATAACACTAAGGTAGCAAGGAAAAAGACTCCCCCCCTCAGCTTTCGCTGGACTTCTCTCGAAACTCGATACCATCGCAACAGCTCCACCAACTAAGAAATCGCAAAGGCTTTGGCATGAGAACTGGAGAGATCTTGTCCTTATGCTTCCACTTTTTCCTTCGTTTTTTCCAAATCCCCAGCTTCTCTAACCCTAATTTGGCCCTAGCTCCCTTTTCTCTCTTCGACATCGCGTCGTGCTTCTTTTTGGCACAGAGAAAACATTGATGAATGACCTAGTTTTACAAAATAAAATCGTATCTGACTAATTTTGTCAATGTTATTAATGTGATGCGAAAAATATCTTAAGTATTGGATACGACTATTGATTATATTTCCAAATTTTACCGAAATTCTCTTTTAAATTCACTATAAGTAAAATATGATTCAATGCTTGAGAATCATTAAAAAATCAAGTCATTTTGAACCAGAGAGTTTTGAGGCCATTAGTAGGCTTTCTTCTCATGTTGTGAAGTTTCTCCGATTCCATAACTTTTTTCCATTGTAATTATGAGGAGTCCATTCTTATATTAGTGCAGAATTTACATTAGGAATTCAGATAAAAGCAATTTTTTCAATTTTCCAACTTGGTTTCTTTTCTTTTGATGCTAACATATCTACTTCTTTTCTTATTGCAGCAATCATGGATTACTTTTGACAAAAAATATTGAGAAAACATTATTTGGAATTATGAATATACGTATTGAGAAATATGTATTCATCATCAGTCGAATCAATGATTTATCAGATTCTTGGGCTACATATTTTTGAGTCATCTGATGATCGCCATTATATGTAGCCCATATCTGATCATGTCAAGCGGGTTCTTCAGATTAATCCCATGATCACCATCATCTGCAGCCCATACTTGATCACGTTCAGAGGGTTCTTCTAATCGAACATGTCATTGTGGCTCGTATTAGGACACTGTTTCACCATAATTTGGTTCTCAAAAAAACTAATTCTAATTCCGATTCTTATAGTGAAAAAACTGGACTCTCCCGAATTGGACAGACTGTACATTTTTTTTTTTTTAAATCAAAATTTTAAGCCCAATGCTAGATTTCTAAGCCCATAACTAAGCTTTTCCTAAGCTCAACTCCAAATCATCTCTCTTTTCTAGGCTCAATCACTTATTTTTGCATGAAATTGAGCAATTTGTGAATTTTTATGCCCAAAAAATAACATTTTAGTTGGCTTTTATATAAAAAAATAATAATTATTACAATCCAAAGCTGAAAAGGCTAGAAACTGATCTAGCTTATGGGCGAACCAGGCCTAACAGGTTTTATAATTATTTTTTTGTCAAATGGAATTAAACTGGACCGAATGAATAGTGATTTTAATTTTGGTTTGGGGTGAGAACCTGACCGTGCCCACACCCCAATTAGTAGGGAAATGTGGGGGTGGTCTGCCAAAAGGTTTAAATGACAATGTTTTACTGTAGTTTCTTCTTCATTTGGGCCTTTGCCCCCTCAATGTACCAATCAACAATTGACCATCGAAATAAGTATGAATCGAAATAACTAGACATCGGAGTAAGCATGAATCGGGTTAACCAATAATCGGAGTCATACATTCTAATTAAATTGTTTACTAATTGTTAGGAATAGAGATGAAAATCAAATTGATTCCCATTAAAATGTTTACTATTGTCAAAAATCGGAATAAAACCAATTTGATTACCAAAATATGCTTGCACAAAACAAAATTAATTTTATTTTGTTTAACTACTTACACAATTTTCAAATGACAAAAGTTGTGTTATCTAATAATAGACCAACGTTTTTATATTGATGATAAATCGAATTTAATATTTGTAAAAATAAGCATTTTTATAAGTTGAATTATTTACTTCCAATATAAGCCTAATTATTTATTTTCCTAGCCCCAATATCGATCTGTAATTATTAAAAAAAAGTAAAATATGTATACCTAAATATAAATAAGTTAAAAAAAAATGGCAGCAACTTGGGGTTTTTTTTTTTTTTTTTTTTCCCCCCAAAGAATAATGCGTATTTTGGTGTTTTCACAAAATATATGAGGCAATTTGGGTACAAAAAATCTCATTCCAATTCATCCTTGCCCAATCCCACGTCCCCATCATCCCCTCAGGAATTCAACTCCCCCTGTATCATGAATTAGACAAATGATTTTATGTGGGCACCACGTTGCTTTTCATTCCCAATGGGAGACCCCATTCCCACTTTAAGTATGTAAACATGCCCTTAATTAAACTGGCGTCATTAAAATTTTAAACCACTTATCAAACTCATTCAACCGGTCTGGTCTGGTTAATTAGCACTATTTTTATTGAGGGCCTAAAAAATATAAATGGTTCGGATTATGGAATACAATATTAGAGAGTTAGTTTTTTTTATATATTTTTTATAGACTAAATATTATAAAGTTAGTTCAAATGAGTGGTTAGCTCCGTATTAACTCAATAACTAGGTCCATAATGAGGTGTCACGATAATAATGGCCTGTTTTTTTAATGATCAATGAGTGTACATTTGCAAAACACTATTTATCATGATAGAAACAATGTGTGTGTTTTTTTTCTTGGTAACACATGTTTGGACATTTGTTATGGTAATGTGTACCTCCCCTTATTTTATAGTTTCTTAAATTTTGTTTGGCTGACAAGAAAAAAAGAGAGGAGAGAATATGAATAAATCACAAGATAACATTACATTTATAAATTTACAAGTGGGTTTGAGTAGTATACAAGTTGCCGAGCATAATTACAACACAAAAAATACATCCCATACAATTATATATTATATATTCTGGTGCGAAAGTTCGTGACAGTTGATTCCGTGAAGCGTTGAGTCCCTATCTGTGGAAGCTGGGTGAACGTGAACCAATTAAAATGATTGTTAATGACAAGCTCTTCCTTCCATTCATCGCCCCATTTCTCTCTTGCTCTTTTTTTCTTGCCCTGCTATGATGTGCACGTGAAACCCCAATAATTCTCATGCAACAGTGGGGTCCTAATTCCTGAAGCCAGCCCTTCCTCTTTTGTTCTCAAGCCAAACTCCAATCCCCAAGAATCACTCCACACTCTCTCTCTCTCTCTCTCTCTCTCTCCCTCTCTCAAACACAAACACATTCATTCATATCTTTCTTCTCCACCACCATCAACAATGGTGGATGCAAAACCTGTTTTCCAAGTTCTGCTTCATCTGCTTTTCCTCTGCCTCTGTTCTGCAAATGGGGTTCAGTCTTTCAAAGAGAAGAAGGTCCTCAAACTGCAAGAGTTTCGTTGGAGGCAGCGTGGTGGAACCAGAAGTACTGTTTGCCTCTCTCAGAAATCAAGTAAGTTTTGTAGCAAACAGTAAAAAGAACTCATAATTGAACTAGTAATGTACAATGCTGCTGACCGTATCTTTTCTTAGCTTTATTTTATTCTCTACTTTGGGATTGTAATATATTGCAACAACTTCTTTATGTTGTTAATTAGGAGATCTAGAAGTGCTTTAGTTCTAATTAAAGTTAATGAACTAGTACTGCTCTCTCTCTCTCTCTCTCTCTCTCTCTCTCTCTCTCTCTCTAGGAAGGGCGTTTAACTATTCATTTCCTTTGATAAAGCTTATCTTGGCTTTACTATTTGTTCTGCATTGGAATATATGTTTTGCATTATGTGCTTTTTAAAAGTCTTATTACTATAATAATCAGCAAGCTTTTGAGGTTCTCTTGGTAGATTATGCTGGGTTGTGGGGCAATGCACCACAGAATTCTCTCTCTATCTCTAGGCCTGCTCATATACAGCTTTACAACTTTTTCTTAAGATATACTTCCACTGTAATTTTGTTTCTTTTTTGTTTTTGAGGTACTAATATAGCATGAACAATTTTGGGAAATTCTGAACTGAGTTATCATTTTTTCAATTATAGGAAAAGAAAAAGGTGCAACCATATTGGAAATCAAACACAGAGATTACTGCTCAGGAAAGATTGTGGACTGGAACAAAAAGCAACAGAAACGTTTAATTTTCGATGATCTTCATGTTCGGTCACTGCAATCCCAATTCAAAAACAGAGTCTATGGCAGAATAAAAGATGCATCAGAAGCTCAAATTCCATTAACTTCTGGTATAAGGCTACAAACATTAAACTACATTGTGACTCTGGAATTGGGAGGTAGAAATATGACAGTGATTGTAGACACAGGCAGTGATTTGACTTGGGTTCAATGCCAACCTTGCAAATTATGTTACAATCAACAAGAACCTCTTTTCAACTCATCTGCATCCCCTTCATACAAATCTGTTTTATGCAATTCATCAACTTGCCAAGCACTCCAGTTTGATACTGGGAATTCTGGGGCGTGTGGGAGCAATCCAACGAGCTGTAACTATGTCGTTAACTATGGTGATGGCTCGTATACGCGCGGTGAGCTAGGTAGTGACCATCTCAGTCTTGGAGCTACACCTGTGAACAACTTTGTGTTTGGCTGTGGCAGGAACAATAAGGGTCTGTTTGGAGGAGCCTCAGGTCTAATGGGCTTGGGAAGGAGTGAGAGTGTTTCACTGGTTTCTCAAACTTCTGCCTTATTTGGTGGTGTGTTTTCCTACTGTTTACCTACAACAGAAGCCACAGCTTCTGGTTCTTTAATTATGGGAGGTGATGCTTCAATTTACAAGAATTCCACTCCGATTTCTTACACTAGAATGGTTCCAAATCCAGAGCTGTCATCCTTTTATTTTCTGAACCTTACTGGTATAAGTATTGGGGGAGTGGCTTTACAAGCTCAAAGTTTCGCAAGTGGTGGGATTCTGATTGATTCTGGGACAGTTATTTCAAGGCTTGCTCCTTTAGTTTACGAGGCTGTCAAGGCAGAGTTTCTGAAACAGTTTTCGGGGTACCCTCCAGCACCAGGTTTTTCAATCTTGGACACTTGCTTCAACCTCAGTGCATATCAAGAAGTGAGCATTCCTACCTTAAAGTTTCACTTCGAGGGAAATGCTGAGCTGAATGTTGATGTAACTGGAGTCTTTTATCTGGTAAAAACTGATGCATCACAGATCTGCTTGGCTCTTGCAAGCCTTTCGTACGAAGATGAGATCGGTATTATTGGGAACTATCAGCAGAAAAACCGAAGGGTCATATACAATACTAAAGACTCTAAGCTGGGATTTGCAGAGGAATCATGCAGTTTTATATGACCTGGAATTTAAAAAGGATTTAGGTATGTTTTCGCCTATATATTTTTCAAAGTAAAGCCAAGCAACCCGTTGGCAACAAAACCTTCAACCAAATAGTTCTTCTTAGTTCATTTGATGTATAAATAGTTATGGTCACAATTGGGACAAGGTATAGAACATATGAATGCATGCGCTTTGCAGTTTCTGAGTGCCTCTCTAATAAAGTGACTCCCTACAGCTGAGGCAGGAAGAGTTTGAACTGTATATTATTTTTCTGTGTATCTGTTTGGGCGTAAGAAGATACGCAGGAGTGTGAAGGTATTAGCTATTGCGACCACGCAAGGTTCACATATATGTGCCCTCCTTGTTGCTTCATATAAATGAAAAATGAGTCCTTGCCAAAGCTCTTGAGAACTTTGTGTGAAAGAACTCTGTATTATATCATGCACTTCAAAGTATTGATCTCCATATCGTTGAAATAAGGTTTAATTGAGATGAATTGGGTCAAGTAGAGCTTTATTAATTATTTTTTGGACAAAGCATTCACGAAAAGAAACAGCGAAACCAGTGAACAAATTGTTTCACTTCTTTCAGACAGGGTAGAAACTACATTTCCTAATAAGGGCCATCCACATGTTCCGTAAATATATCACGACACTTACAAGAACAAAGAGGAGTCTCTTTTTCTTTTCTGTACTTTTTTTTTCGGTCGGAACAAGACTCAGTTTCTCGAGCCTGAGGGCACTGTTCTTTGACGGCGGGAAGGCAAAAAGGTAAAAATAAGATTCTGTTTTCAATCCCTGCATTCCCACTTTAAACTGATTAAAACGCTACTGAAGACTGGTATTGGAAGCTGATGTAACTGGAGTTCTGAATCTTAGAGCAGAGAACTATGGAGATGTCTGCATATGCATACAAGATTTTCAGCTTGATGATGCATACAGAACTTTCAAGGATCTTAAACAACCAAGCTCGTCCTGTGTGCATCTCATAACAGTGAAGCAGTAAGAATTTATCATGGAAAAATATTGTTGTAATCATAGTACTCTTAATAATTAGAGAACTTCAAAAATGCCTTCTTTCAGGGACGTGGTTCCAGCATTTCGAAGGACTGTTTCTCCAGATCTCCCAACAGCCATCAGATGTAGTTCGTCCTTCACATCGTATTTTACCAGATCAATGCATCTCTAGTTCAGATCAAGTGACGTTCACAAGGGAGGCCATTTCAAGAGTCTCATACTCATGTGTATCATGACCTTTTTTGGTCCTCAACATCTCAGGTGGAAGAATGCATAAGTTGGGATCAGTTCTGGGTATTAAGAAAAGTAATGCAATCGGAACAATTCTCAACGAACTCCGGATCAAAATTGCCATCCAAAGATTTTCAAACTCTGTCCGTGTAATCTTCAAGACGTGGAGTAAGAGGCCTCCAGCCCAAGTAGATGACAGCATTCCAACATGATCTATAGACATAAGCAAAGCAAAGAAAGTGCCTTCTATACCAGCAGGACAGAGTTTGGAACTAAGTACAAGAAGAGGCATCCATTTAATACGCCCAATCAACTGAGTAACGCCTTCGTCAATGACAACAAAAAAATAATCTGGTAAACCAAATTTCAAATTTATGCGCAACACCAATATCAAGTCTAGCAATCCTGATACACCGTAGAGCAATTGCGTCCAGAAAAGCACATCCCTGAAGGGGTAACTTTTGAAGAAGTTCTGGTAAAGAAGGACCCCCAAAAGAGAGCCAATAGCACCAATAGAGAATATGGACCCAACAACCTCCTGCAGCATGTAAATAATGAGTTTGCATTTTAGGCACATCAGAGCAAACAACTTTCAAATGTTATTAAAAAAGCCGCAATTGGTAACATCAAATGCACTGAAATTGTAGAAATAATTCAGGTTACCTGTGAGAAAGATGGACCCCCCTTTGCATCGGTGTACCAGTAAAACATTCCTTCACGAACATTCAAGGCCAAAGCAAGTGACAAGTACATGTATAAACAGGGCCTCCAGACATTACCACATTTTAGAGTTGTCCACATAGTCTTGCAAGCATCCAGAAACTTTACACTGACCTAACTTAAGAGCTTGGTATGAGCATTAGAAAGCAGGAGTTTAAAAAGTAAACAACAAAGTAAGGTAATCTCACCTGTGTATAAGTGAAGGTGCGAACATGAGGTTCTCTATGCATTACCCCAACCAAAATGACCAGCCCTGGAGGGATGCTGAGCAGTCCAAAGACACCCTGTTGTAAAAGTGCCAAACTTGCACTGGTCAGAGAAGCAATTTAACTGAATAAAAGTTAATTTATATCATATTTGACATAATGAAATCCTAGGCATAAGGAAACCGTCCCAACATGATCTGGTTCGAACTTGACAAATCGCTAAAATATGAGTTCAAATAAAAGTTCTGTCTAATATACAGTATGATGAATCCTTCCATATGAAATACATCTCATAGATGAAATATTATGCGTTTGAATTGGATTTTTACAAGGTCGGGGATGATCGTTGGATCTAATCTGTTGATTATGGACCCAATTAGAAATATATCATTTGAACGTTGGTGAATCCAAAATCCTTTGCAAGCCTACTATGTTAAAAATTGGACAGGCATCTCTGACATGTCTAAAAAATATAACAAAAGATTACCCTAAAAGTTTGACCAATGAGCTGATCTCTTCACAGATTTTCAAACAATGCCAAAAGTTTATATTGTTACAAGCACAAGAAACTTGAGAAAAATCAAACCTTAGGGCCCAGTAGGTGAACAAGAAACCCACTAAGTGAAAATCCCACCAATGCCCCAATTGAAGAGGCCAGTCCACACAAGCTCTGCATGTCACCAGCAAGGGATGGATGACTTATACTGTTTTGTGTAACACACGCATCAATTGTTACATCAGCTATTGCTACTCCAGCACTCCCCACCATCAGAGACAACAGGGAAATTGTGAGATCTAATTTCTTGTCTAGTGATAGCACAAGCATGGAGATCACCCCAATTACACCTGGAAAAGAAAAATGGGAAAGAAAAATAAGGGAACAGCCTTCTGGTTCCAGCTATTTTTGTTTTTCTTTAAATTCAGGTCATAATGCCAAAACATATAAAGCGCATTTTATCTTATACAGATTAAATTAGGAAAATAAAAATTGTCCAGTTGCAAAGCAACTCTTGCAGTCAAGCTAACAAATACGTACAGAAAATGGAAGTCTTTGAACCAAACAAAGAATAGAAAACGGAAGTCAGTACTGTCAAGGGGCATGGGATTTCAAAACTTAACCCAAAGATTACAATCGTTCAACGAGCATACCTTCATATACAAGTTTAAATTTAAATGTTCTTTTAAGGTTCAACAAGTGGAACACTCCTGAACTAAGTAGGTATATATTCATAGTAGTATGATATTTTAAAAGAAAAAACAGTTGGCAAGGTAAAAGCAGACTTGCATATAGGCTATTTTCATGCATGGATAATCTCAGTTATGCATGTCATCATTACGTTATGAACAGGATGAATCAGTTTTTACTTTTAAAATCTGTATGCTTGAGTACTGATCCAGGTGATTCAAAATAAACGCATACAGTAACGCTGTAGCAGTTATAATATATGCCTACACAAGAAATCACCATCTGAGTGACAATCAGGCCATCTTTTAGAATGAGAGTCACTTAAGAAGAAAAATAATCTAAAGCCTAAAACTAAAGGCAAAATATGAGATAGAGGTGTTAATATAGCACTTTAAAAAGAATACCATGTGTGCACACTCTCACAAACTAGCAACTGCCCATGCTGTGCAAAGCTATAGTTATGGAAATTGTAGCAAGTCGAACATTAAGACATTTTGCCAATTTTGTTACCCCATTTGCTAACACTAAGCTTCCTCCTAAAGTAAACTGAAACTCTAACGACTGCCACTTCAAGATTAATGTTTTCCCCATTCTTTGGATAGTTACTAAATTCAACGCTAACAAATTTTCATTGCTTACCTATCAAGTAAGCTACAACATGCACTGATCTCAAAATAACAGCACAATTATGCCCTTCAATTCAATCCAAAACTAAAAGCAGCAGCTGAAATTATAGAAACTCAATTTTGCAAGCAACACATTCATATACAAAAATGAGTTGGTATCATTTACCAGCAAAAACAAAGTACGGCTTTCGGCGGTACCCAAGAATAGGAAGAGTATCAGTAAGAAGACCCCAAAAAGGCTTAACCATCCATGGAATTTGAATAATCCCAAAGTAGACTTGTGCTTCAGAGGGCTGCACTTTCTGATCATCTTTCAAGTAATACTGTATGCCGATTCTACTCAGTCCCATACTCAGACCCTGACTGATTCCGTACACAATGACAACACCCACCACAAAGCTCCAATGCAACTCACTGCTGAGCATTTTGAACCAATTCATGGGTGTCCATAGCAAATCCCGGACACCCTTTACTGAGTTTTGGTGCTTTTGGTTCTCAGCCTCAAGGTGAAGACTTTCTTTTTCCTGTTCTTCTTCTGCTTCCATTTCCATAGCTCTACTTTTCCTGCAAAACTTTAGAAGAATAAAATATAACCAGCTGATAAATCTATGTTTTCTGAAGAGGGTTTGTCAACTTAGTTGAAATTTGTGCAGAGCTTGAAGAATTTTTCTCAAGTATGCATCCCTATGACATTGACTTTGACTTCAACTTTCTCTGGGCGAAATGCGACAAATAAGCCACTGGCCAGGAAGAGATAGAGAGATCCAAGACAAGATTTGCCCAAGAAAAGATGGACCGATGTGATCTCACAACCCCAAAACGATGCTGGTGGGCCTGTTGGCTTTGCTCCAAGGTAGCAACAGCAAGAACTCGTTAGCTCAACAAAAGCCCAATGGGTAGCCAAGTGGCACCCAATTTTTGTTTAAGGTTTGGTTGTTTGGAGTTATCAGTGCAAGGTTCTGTATAGTTTAGGGCTAGAATTCATTAAGGTTCGCTATAGTTTAGGGCTACAATCCATTGTTCTTTCTTTGGTGGTGCAAAATCATCATTTTAGATATTAAGATTTAGATGGGTTTCAGGCATAGTATAAAATATTGATAATATTAAGGATATTATCGTTTTTTCGGGTCACAGATATTTCGTGTTTTTGGACTACCAATATTTCTGATACCATCGATATTTTAGACCTTAGGCAAAGCTCAAAATTCAAACCCAAATACCCACCCTAAGGAATGAACCAAATCCTCAAAAAAGGGTAAGACAAAAGGGGACAAAAGAAGTAACAATGCAACCCTACAGTTGTAAATGTAACTGCACAAAGGAAGCAAAACAAAAAAATAAAAAAAAAGGTTAGAGGTTGGCAATAAGAAAAATGTTTTGGGCTGGAAGAAAATATAAAAGAAAAAAGTATGAGCTAATTAGAGTATCTCAAGGTTGTTTTTGTTATTAGAGATTCAG